TTGTCTCACGAGTTGTCGAGCTCCGAGATGATCTTGGTGCACTGCTGCATCTGCAACACATTGCTGCCCGCCGCTGCCATCCTCGCATAGGTGTCCTTGATTTTGTCAAGGACCGGCTTCACATCATCGCCCGGTCGCATGGAGAGGGCAGCCAGCTCCTTCTCCAACACAATCACCATCGGCAGCATGTTGGGCTGAATCACGTCACGCAGTAGCTTCCACGCATTTGGTCCGGAATCATCCAACTCCACCAAATCCTTGATGTGTTGGAACATGTCGTTGTTGACCGATTGAAGGATTAGGTCGTACAGCGCCGCGCTCTTCTCAATCCACCGATTGCGGGCGTCGCCTTCCTCCGGCATCTTCTCTTCTCTTATCGCAAGTTTCAGCAGCTTGTAGTGGTTAAACGCACTCCGCATCCGCCCGCTCCATTCCTTATAGTTGGAGCCATCCAATGCCTCGTTCTTGGATGGTGGCAGCTCATTCCTCTTCTCAGCTGCATCTCCAATATCTTGAATAATTTTCTCTGCTCCCAATCACAGGTTCCAGCTCCCCCTTTGCTTTTCACACCGAAGTCCCACAGTAGTTTCACAAGTGTCGGCGCCAATGAAATTTCGGTAGAGTTTCCCCTTAGCGGAAGTCACATGCAACCTCCGGAACTCAACTTAGGCACGTCCACAGGCCATGGTGGGTCAAGGAGGGTCTTCACACCTCTGTAGACTTTTCAAAAAGTCCTTAATCACTCTGATACCACTTGTTAGAGACTAAGGACGGAGTCTATGAAGATTAGGGGCTGAAATATCTCAAAATCGTCAACTACAATTCTGGACAGAAAAGTCATCGTCACAAGAATCTTCGTCGACGATTAACGCATAGTTATAATTTTCTCAATCTCAGTTATGTTGTAGCCCTTGACTGTGGCTATCTTTCCCAATTTGAATTGTATCAAAATATGGAGCATAACTCGAGTTATGAATTTCGGCGCACTAGAGGGTAAATTGCCATAGAAACTTAACTCAAACACAATTTACTCACAAGTTCACACAAGAAAATTTAAGTAGCAATCAACGAGGTAGGAGAGGATGAGGAGGAAGAGAGGGAAGGTCCCAAGACATTCCCCAACCAAGGAAACTCCATACCACACAATTCCCCCTTTTATAGCCACCCAACTTTGACATTTGTAACTTTCCCAACTCATGCCATCCACCTCACCCAACTTGGCCACACTTGCCAACCTGGTTTGGCTTCTCCCAACCACATGGCATCAATATACAGTAGAGTGACGAATTTCCCCAACCCCAAAAGTCTATACCCCATATTGAGTCACTCCACAAATTTCCATAGTCGTCGCATCACAATCATATCTTTCTCGTTCTTGTTCCGATCGCAACGATTCTTGGTTCGTCGGAAAGCTCGTGAGCAGAGGAGTCACTTCAGATATCTGGCCAAGCCAAATATCATTCACACACACTCAAAATATCCAAACCATGCCAATCACAGATTTTTGCACACACCACACATGCAACACACGAACATATGATGGGAGGCAGACAGACGTGAATGCAAATGATAGCATCACATAACACTGGTGACCCTAGAGCTGCTGGAGCTGGAGCTGGAGACACTGGCGCTGGTGGCGCTGGCACTGGAGGAGCTGGAGCTGGAGACACTGGGACTGTTGACCCTGGAGCTGGAGGTGCTGGAGCTGGGGGTGCTGTGTGTGGCGGTACTGGTGCTGGAGGCACTGGGCGACCGCGACCGTTCTTCGTTCCCCTACTTCAGCAGGTTCTTGGTCTCCCGTCTTCCACTGGCTTTACTCCTCCCTTACTGTGGCCGCCGCCTGACCTGTCACAGCCGCCGTTGTAGCTAGCCTCCCCACTACCTGCTCTTTCTCCTTACACTGAGCAAACTGGAGGTCCTACAGCGCGTCGTGAGCCTGATTCTCGTCCTTGCTCGCCTGTTCGCACTGTTCGCACTGGTATCTGCCCAATCCAAATAGCATTCACACACATTCAGAAAATCCAAACCATGCCAAACACAGATTCTTGTACACACCACGCATGCAACGCACGAACATATGACGTGAATGCAAATGATAGCATCACATAACACTTCGCGAGTGCGTCGTGCCACGGTGAGGGAGGCGACTTCTCATGTTGCAGAAGCGACGAGGGGAGGACGACGTCAATTCTGACTTTCACGAGGAAGACGTCGACACAGACGAGGATGACAATGGTGAATCGGACGGTGACAACGATGACGAAGAAGAAAACGACGACATGGAGGATGACGACGTTGCAGAGGAGGAGACGCTGCCCAAAATGCTCGCGGGCCGTCGGTCTGCAAGCAAGACCACGAGCAATGCTAAGGACAAGGGCAAAGCCCCGGCGACGAAACGGTCGCACAGGTGGATGCTCCGCGCGACAAGACACAGTGGTCTGAGCGCGAGAACACGTTCTTTGTTGCCGGCCGTTGGTTCACTAAAGCCGATATGAAGCCACTGAACGGGAAGCAATGCGCCCAGTACTGGGCGCGCCTTGTTGACCATATCAAGAAGGAGAAACCCTGCTGGTTCCGGGGCGTAATGCGGTGCAGAAGCAGTGGCGCAACTTGATGCGCCTCTGGAAGCAACTCCGCCGCGAGATGGTGCATCTGATGGCGGATCGGTGGCTAAGCCACCGTGGTTCCACTACATCGAGCTCTACAACTCTGACATAGCCTTGGCGGATCCACACGCGGTTGATGGCGGCAGCAAATTTAACATCAATGTGAGCGCCGGTATGGAGGTGCCTACCTCGACACAACCCAAGACTTCGACACCTACATTTACAGGTAATAGTTTCTTAAAAAAATTGAAGAGGCCGCACGCGTGTGAACTTGTTTGTTGCATAGACAACACGCACGATGTTGAATATTGTGGCTGACATTAACCTACAGACGCGACATGTTGCAACCTACTCATGACAAGTTCCCCCATCTTTTGCCCCTCCTGCGCAGGACACGCCGACGTCAAAGCGACCCCGTGTGCGCGAGACACCAACCATGCAGACTTCCATGCTGGTTGCAGACACTATCAAGAGCTGCCAAGGGGATGCAATGAACCGGATGGAGTCTCTGGTGTGTGAGTGGATGCAGCAGGATCTGCGTATAGCACGTGAACGCTGTTATGTGATGCTATCATTTGCATTCACGCCTGTCTGCCTCCCATCATATGTTCGTGCGTTGCATGCGAGGTGTGTATAAGAATTTGTGTCTGGTGTGGTTTGGATTTTCCGAGTGTGTGTGAATGTTATTTGGCTTGAGCAGATATCTGAAGTGACTCCTCTGCTCGAGAGCTTTGCGACGAACCAAGAATCGTCGCGATCGGGGCAAGAACGAGAAAGATATAATCGTTTGAAGTTTTGATTGAAATGCAGTGACTCAATATGGGGTATAGAGTTCTGGGGGTTGGGAAATTCGTCCCTACTACTTTAGATGATGCCAAGTGGTTTGGGACAAACCAAACCAGGTTGGCAAGTGTGGTCAAGTTGGGTGAGGTGGATGGCATGTGTTGGGAAAGTGACAAATGTCTAAGTTGGGGTGCCTATAGAGAGGGGAATTGTGTGGTATGGGGTTTTTTTGGTTGAGGACTCCCTAGGGACCTTCCCTCTCGTCCTTCTCATCCCCTTCTACCTGGTTCTTGCTACTTCAACTTTTTTCTGTGGATCTTGTGAGACCATTTTGTGATTGAGTTAAGTTTCTATGGCAGCATACCCCCCAGTGCGCCGAAATTCATAACTCGAGTTATGCTCCATCTTTTGATACAATTCAAATTTTGAAAGTTAGCCACGGTAAAGGGCTACAGCATAATCGAGTTTGAGAGAATTCTAACGGTGCTTGTTTTGTCTACGACGTTTCTTGTGAAGTCGACAATTTTGTCTTGAAATATAGTCCAACGATTTTGAGATATTTCGGACCCCAATCTTCATAGACTCCGTCCTTAGTTTTTAACAAGTGGTATCAGAGCTGATTAAGGACTTTGTGTAGAGTCTACTTAAGTGTGAAGACCCTCCTAGACCCACCATGGATTGTGGGCGTGCCTAAGTGGAGTTCTAGAGGTTGCATGTGACTTCCGCTAAGGGGAAACTCTGCCGAATTTTCGTTGGCGCCGACACTTGTGAAAATATTGTAGGACTTCGGTGTGGACAGCAAAGGGGGATGAGCAAGTGGGTGTGAGCAGCTAGGTGTGAGCAGCTGGGTGTGAGCAGTTGGGTGTGAGCAGCTGGGTGTGAGCAGCTGGGTGTGAGCAGCTGGGTGTGAGCAGCTGGGTGTGAGCAGCTGGGTGTGAGCAGCTGGGTGTGAGCAGCTGGGTGTGAGCAGCTGGGTGTGAGCAGCTGGGTGTGAGCAGCTAGGTGTGAGCAGCTGGGTGTGAGCAGCTGGGTGTGAGCAGCTGGGTGTGAGCAGCTGGGTGTGAGCAGCTGGGTACATGCACACTTGCAGCTGTGTGTGGGGGGGCACACAGAGGCATACAAGGGCACACAGAGGCATACAAGGGCACACAGAGGCATACAAGGGCACACAGAGGCATACAAGGGCACACAGAGGCATACAAGGGCACACAGAGGCATACAAGGGCACACACGGGCATTCATGCACGTGCATTCCATTTCACACACATGCATGCATACACACGACATATGCAAGCACATTGATTAAAACGCATGCACACATGGGGATGCACGCATGTATACGCATGAAGAAACATGCACACGCATCACAAACATGCACCCGCATCACAAACATGCACCCGCATCACAAACATGCACCCGCATCACAAACATGCACCCGCATCACAAACATGCACACGCATCACAAACATGCATCCACAAGATTGACAGAAGGCATCATGGGAGGGATTGGCATGTGAGTTCTGCACCGCACCTGCTGCATGTCTTAAAGCCCCACCCCACCGCACATGCTGCATGTCTTAAAGCCCCACCCCACCGTACCTGCTGCATGTCTTAAAGCCCCACCCCACCGCACCTGCTGCATGTCTTAAAGCCCCACCGCATGGCACCTGCTGCATGTCTTAAAGCCCCACCGCATGGCACCTGCTGCATGTCGGGCAGGAAAGCCCCTCGGATGCCGCAGCGGTACATGAGGAAGACGAGGCACGTGAAGGCGTGCTCCTCCCCCATGCTCATCAGCACATGAAGGAATGGCACAGAGCAGGGCACCGCAAAACAGAAGGGTGCAGCAGAGCAGAGGGGAACATTAGAGAGCACATAGCAGGGAAGGGCAGGGCAGGGCGGGGCGGGAGCAGGGCATGGGTGCGGTATGGAGTAGGCCTTGATGGCGTTGAAGAGCGAGTGCTGGCCGGTGAGAGATGGAAGGAACAAGGCAGGGAGCAGCAGGGAGCAGCAGCAGAGAGCAGCAGCAGAGAGCACATAGCAGGGCAGGGCAGGGGAAGGGGGGTGGGGGCGGGGGGCTGCACGGAGTAGGCGTTGATGACGTTCGACTGCTGGCCGGCGCCCCTCTCCTCCTGAAGAGACGGTGCTTGAGGAAGGTGCTGTTGATGTCCCACTTTATATTCCTGCCAGCAGGGCGGGGGAAGGGGTTGGGGGGACCAGGATGAATGGGAGGGATGGGGTATGTGGTGACAAGAGAGGGCAGAAAGGTGGAGGGGGAGCAAGAGAACTGTCTGTGTGGCCTGCCACGAGCATGTGTGTGGCCTACCACAAGCGTGTGTGTGGCCTGCCACAAGCGTGTGGGGGCGGGGAGCTCACTTGGCGTGTGTGGGGGCGGGGAGCTCACTTGGCGTGTGTGGGGGCGGGGAGCTCACCTGCAGCGGCTTAGCTGCTGCGATCCGCCAAGGTGTCCTGGCGGTACGAGGAGAAGGGGAAGGAGAGGGTGCGAGGGTGAGGGAGAGGGTGAGGGGGAGAGGTTGAGGTGTGTGGTAGGTGGAATGTGCATTGAGGCATAACCAAGCAGAGGTGCATGTTGTAGCAGAGCAGGCAAGGCAGCAGCAGCAGCAGCACGTGCACCTAGGTTATCGCACTCACATCGGGGTGGGCGGTGGCGATGGCGACCCAGGCGGCGCCCCTCTGGTTGTGCGGCACACGGCCCGCCAGCACCGCCTCCACCACACGGCCCGCCTCCACCAGCGTCATGCCCGCTGGCAGCTGAATCACACTCCCCCCTCCACTCATGCCCGTACCCATGCCCATGCCCATGCCCATGCCCATGCCCATGCCCATGCCCGTGCCCATGCTCATGCCCATGCTCTCCCCCAGGCTGGTGCTGTCGTTGAGATGCTGTGAGTGGGGCAGAGAGGCGAGAGCAGAGAGAGGCGTGGCAAAGCGTCCTGCTGAGAGAAGAGGATGCGGGAAAACGTGGTGGGTGGAAATTCAACGGCGACGAGGAGCGGAGCAAGTTGGAATGCGCAGAGGCTGATGCCAGCCGTGCATGAAGCAGCTGGTACCTCTCTCGAATGGTCCCAGCAAACATTTCAAAAACAAAAACGCTTATCAAATGTACACCAAGTGTTCGGGGTTTGCATATCAGAAAGGCATCAAGGTCGGAGCCTGTGGGCGGCGGCATGAAGCGTTTCTAGCGCTCTCACATGCGCACCATGCGCTGCCCGCCCGTTGCTGCGGCCTCAGCCGCCACCATCGCTGCATGCCGCCCGCTTCATGGTCCAAGTCAGTGAGCGACCCTGGGGGGGTGGGAATGGGGGAGAAAGATGGCAAGAAGGATGACGGCAATGCGAGTAGGGATGGGAAGCGGCGAGAGAGAGGGTAAAGAAAATACAAGGAATTGTTTTCTAACTACCTCCCCTCCTCCTTTACTTCTCCTGATTTACCTCTCCTCCCTTGTTGCTCCTCCTCGAACTCTCCCTATCCATCTCCCTCTCCCCCTCCCTCCCCCTCGCCCTTGCCCTCCCCTTCCCTTCCCCAACCTTCACCAATGGTGGTGCTGCAGCGGTGGTAGTGGTAGTGGTGGTGGTGGCGGCGCAGACAGTGGGCGAGCAGGGCGGGCAGGGAGTCACCATCGACGCCGCGCCCCTCAGCGCCAGGCTGCTGTGCTGCGTGTGCTGCTGCTGCTGCTGCTGCACCCACAGGTGTGCCTGCCCGCGAGCAGGGGGCTCTTGGAGGCACGTGGCATCACCCCCGCTTCTGCTGCTTGTGCTGACGTTTTTGTTGCATGTGCTGCTGCCGTCCCTGGGTGGAATGGGAGTTCAAGCAAGAGGGGCGGTGGGAGGGCGTGTGGTCCAGCATGCAGTTCTGCCGCTCGATCTGTGGGGGTGGGAGAGGAGGGGGGAGACGGTGAGGGTGGATATGGGAGTTGGAGGAAGCGGGGCAGAGGAGTGGGGACAATGGAGACAAGGGAAGAGGGATGGGAGGACGGGGGAGGTGCCAGGAGGGGAGGGTGCGAATGGCAAGAAGAATGCGTGCAGCGCTGCTGCCGTGGCATGAGGTGCTGCCATGCCATCTCACCCGCAGCAGCATGAGCATGAGGTGCAGCCATGCCATCTCCCCATCTCACCCTGAGCAGCATGAGCTCCTCTCGGAGGCAGCGCAGCCACTCACTGTGCTTGGGCGCACAACTGCTTCTCCTCGCCCACCCGCCCCCCCGCCTCCGCCAGGTCGCGCCGCTTTGCTATCTTGATGTCCCCCCCGCCCAACACGCGGCAGGCTGGAGGGGAGAGAGGGGAATCAGGGAGAGGGATGCACAGATGATGGTTTAGGAAACACACCGCTTCACTCTCTTCATGCCCCCCCGCCCTTCACCTGGCTGGCTGAGTGGGGGAGCAGGGAGAGGGGGAAAGCAGGAGAGGGGGGAAGCAGGGAAAGGGGGGGAGCAGGTAGAGGGATGCGCAGATGGCTTAGGAGGGACACCGAGAAGGGGGTTTTAGTGGTATAGGAGTCAACATGCACGTAGCAGGTTGAATGAGATGGAAGAAGCACCGCACATTGAGTCAACAGCTCGGATGCCATGTCACGTTCCGCACATGCACCTTCCTCGGACTTTTCTTGGACTCACCTTTCTTGCACCTTCCTCGGACCCATCTTTCTCAAGCTCACCTTCCTGGCGCAGGGCGTGGGCGTCGGGGTGGGGGAGCTCCTGCCGCCTCATGAACACACTGACCACACTGCGCCTCATGACCACACTGCGCACGCCACAGCAAGTCCAGCCGCGCCGGCCACGCTGCTGCCGCTGCCGCTGCCGCTGCCGCTGGTGTTGCTGCTGCCGCTGCCGCTGGTGTTGGTGCTGCCGCTGCCGCTGGTGTTGCTGCTGCCGCTGCCGCTGGTGTTGCTACTGCCGCTGCTGTGGCTGCGGTTGAGGGTGGAGCTGCAGGGGCTGCGGCTGATGGGCAGGCGGTAGGGGCTGCGGCGGGCCTGCGGGGGGAGAGTGGGGGGGAAGGGGGATGTGACAGGGGGAGGGAGTGGGAGTGGGAGAGGGGGGTTGAGAGGGGTTGGTGGAGTGGAGATGCCGGGGTGAGGTGGGAGGGATGGGGGGGTTAAAAAGATGACATGGATGATGGAAGATCATGGGGACGAAGGGACCATGGTGAGCGGCACGTGAGGGGTATGTGAGGGGTACGTGAGGGGTATGTGAGTGGCTTGTGAGCAGCATGTGAGGGGCATGTGAGGGGCATGTGAGGAACATGTGAGGGGCATGTGAGTGGCATGTGAGGGGCGTGAGGAAAGAGGGGCATGTGAGGAGAAGGACATGTGAGGGGAGGGGCATGCGAAGGGCATGTGAGGGGAAGCTGATGAGTTGAGCACTGTTAAATTGTTAAGGCCGAAACGATGGCGATAGGAAAGTAGAAAGCACACATGATTCGGGTGAGAGGCACAGACACATTGGTTTGTAGGGACGGAGAGCCCAGCGGTTAGGCAGTAAGAGAGGCTTGAGTGACACGGGCAGGCAGTGGAGCAGCGGGGCAGTGGAGCAGCGGCAGGGGCTGCCGCACATCCAGCAGCGGTGGGAAGGTCGACATCCACCACATGCGATTACATGGCATGCGAGGGGTGGGAGTAAGCGCGGTGGGAGTGAGCGCGGTGGGAGTGAGCGGGGTGGGAGTAAGCGCGGTGGGAGTGAGCGGGGTGGGAGTGAGCGGGGTGGGAGTAAGCGCGGTGGGAGTGAGCGCGGTGGGAGTGAGCGGGGTGGGAGTAAGTGCGGTGGGAGTGAGCACGGTGGGAGAGAGCGCGGTGGGAGAGAGAGGGGTGGAAGAGGGAGGGGTGGAAGAGGGAGGGGTGGAAGAGGGAGGGGTTGGTGAGCGACCTCAACGCCGCCAACCGACCTCGATCGGCGCAGCTGATTCTCGTGCGCTGCTTGCGACGATTGCGAAAATGGTTACTGCTACTCGCTCACCTCGCAGTGCGACGATAGAAGGGCGAGCTTCATATCGTCCAGTGGGAACGACTTGAGCGAAACTGTGTTCGTGAATGTGGTTACCACGAACATGACAAATATGCGTGAGAACACACGGCGATCGGAAATCCAATGGAGCGCGCTGTTAGGAAAACCGCAATCCACGAGAAGAACGGGAGGGGCGGGTAAGGAACGTGCGAATTGCGCATGTTGCTGGTGATGTGGTCTGGTGGACCTCGTGGGATGTCAGATGCCTAGATACGGCATTTGGTATGGTGATCGGTTGAGGGCGTGTTATGCAACTTGAAATTACTCTCATTTCTAAGGACGCGGAAAATTGCCCGAAACTGGGTTTGGCCGTTTTCTGTCGTTCATTTGGTCGACATTTTGTTTCGCGAAGATCGACCAGATAGATGGTCGTAGCCAGGTCGTCACTTTTTCGACCATTTGGGGGTGCTTCTCAATTTTGAAATGTTTTGCTGGCTGTTGTGACAAACATGGAAAATCCCGTTTTGGATTTTTGAACGACCTGGTACGACTGCGTCGCACATAAACAGACGACGTCGACAGTTCGATGTAACCATTCATGCGACGTCGTCATCTAACTGTAGCCAACCTGGTGGACATGGTGGCCGTTTTCTTGTCGTTCATTCGTCGGAAAAGTGTCGACATTATTTTCGGCCACCAAAACACAAATCAGATGGCCGAATTTTGCGAGTTCCGCAGTGTGCTCGACGAGCCTCGTTATCTGGTTACTATCGCAACGGCAACTGGCCGACTTGAGATGTCGGGCGATTTACGCCCTAAGCTCAGTTACCCGGTACATCGTAAAATACGTAAATCAGAAATTCAGCCTGACATATTCGGGACATGTCAGGGTTTGTATGTTCGCACGTGCTTTCCAAGCGAGCTCAAAACGCCACTGGCGTACCCGAGTTTCGAGTTCAATGGTGCATTTTCGCGAATTAAACGAAGGCGTGGCGTTTCTGTAGACCGCAGGCCCGAAAATCTTGTCGAATGTTGTTCAGGACGACTTTTGTTCGGAGAGGACTGGGTGTAACCGGTTCGCAAAGCTTCTTTACGTGTGGTAACACAGGTTTTTTAACGAGTAACTTCACGTTAAAAAACTATCAACGCCCCGAAAACATACTGCAAAACACGCCCTAAATGTACCTCACTGTACCACACGCTCTGAGCAAAAAATTAGTGACCCTGTCCACAGTTCTGGCAGAAACTAATATTTTCCGCAGTGTCCAGCCTCATAGAATCTCTCCATCAAGCGTTATATAATCCCTTGCTAAACTTCGATGAACCTCCATTTCTGTACCTGAAAGCCGAGATCCCTTAAATCCGCCGAAAGCAGCCACTACCTACCACACCCGCCAGTTTACCCCGCTAAAGTCTAAATCCCCCAGTTTTGGCAGATCTACAGTTTCTCTGATGGTATGGACGCTGGCGACTCTGCCGTTCGCGCTTTCCCTGTTTAAGCTTATAATATTTTCGTCCCTAACGCCACTCGTCTTCGCTCGTATCCTTTCGTCTCTTTTCGTCTCCGTTTTCCCCCGCTTCCTGTGCTCGCGATTCCTTTTCCGCCAGTTGCCGTTGTCGCTGCTCAAAACGGCGCAAGGCCATCCCATGGTACGTAGCTTACGCAGTTCCAAAGCAATTTCCGTTTACTACGTAGTTACTGGGGTTCCTAAGCTCGTGTTTGTGAGTGCTGTGTGAATCATATAGTCCACTCGTGCCTCCCCACTCCCCCGCCTTGGTAAGGTTCGAATCGGACCAATCTACTACGGTTGGTTTCTGTCCCTATGAAGTCCATGTTAAGGTTTAGGTCTTATATTATTGTTCAGGTAATGGGTTATGTAGAAACTCGATGTAAAAACTCGGCAATTTCCACGGATTTCCACTCACAGGCTCGATGATGCGTTTCCAACCTGCGGCAACTAAAGCTCGCACTCTGTTGACACGTGGATGAAACATATACCTGAAACAGGTCATCTGCGCGTCCCCGTTCTCTTTCCCCTTCCACCCTCCCCCATTCCACCCTCTCAACCCTTCACTCCTCTCCACTCCTCTCCACTCCTTGCTCCCGTCCACTTCAGCTGGAAGAGTTGAAGAATGGGGAGACGTACAACTGGCATCTGGTGAGCTGTGACACGTGGATGAACATCCACCTGCGCGAGGTCATCTGCACGTCCAAGGACGGGGACCGCTTCTGGCGCATGCCGCAGTGCTACGTGCGCGGCAACACCATCAAGTACCTTCGTGTGCCTGATGAGGTGGGTGGGTGGGTGTGGGGGGGGAGGGGGGGGGGGGGGGGAGGAGGGGAGGGGGGCGGCTGGGGGAGGGGAAGGTTGGTGGTTCCCTGTGTCTTGTTGTGCACGTGCGCGGCAACACCATCAAGTACCTTCGAGTGCCAGGCGAGGTGGTGGGTGGGGGTTGGGGAGAACTGGGGCAGGGAGAGCGTTCCCTGTGTCGTGTCCTGCACTTTCAAGAGTGCTAAGTGTCACTGTGAGGCAACACTGTCGCGTACCTGCGAGTGCCAGATGAGGTGGGCGGGTGGGTGGCTGGTGTGTGCTGTGACCGTGAAGGGTCTGTGTGGTGTCAGCTGTGTGGTTGAGATGAGTCACTACCCTTAGCTGCCTCAACATGGACCTTTTGGAATGATCTGTGCTTTCTGTGTGCCCCAATCCATCCATGTTCATTGTATGCGTTTCTGAATTTGAATTTACTCAAGCCTCGTTTCTTTTCTTGTGTGGCCCACTCGATCCATGTTCATTCATTGTGTGCGGTTTAGGTGATTGGCAAAGTTCCCAAGTCCAAAGAGGTGAACCTATTCCTCGACTCAAATGCCACGTGCTGCTATGTGTGCTGTCCTCTCCATCACTCTATGTATATTGTGTGTTGTGTGCATCCCAGGTGATCGACAAAGTACAAGAGGAGGTTATCAGAAGACAAGGTAAACTACTCCATGCCTTGCCACATTACCTTAACGGCACATTGCTTTCCATGCCATGCTGTCACGCCATGCTTGCCCCCTCGCCTCCATGCCCCCCTCGCTTCCACACCCCCTCTCTCCCTACCCCCTTCGCTCCCTCCCCCCCTCTCGGTACCCCCCTCTATCTGTGAACCCCTCTATCTGTGAACCCCTCTATCTGTGAACCCCTCTATCTGTGAACCCCTCTATCTGTGAACCCCTCTATCTGTGAACCCCTCTATCTGTGAACCCCTCTATCTGTGAACCCCTCTATCTGTAAACCCCTCTATCTGTGAACCCCTCTATCTGTGAACCCCTCTATCTGTGAACCCCGCTATCTGTGAACCCCTCTATCTGTGAACCCCTCTATCTGTGAACCCCTCTATCTGTGAACCCCTCTATCTGTGAACCCCTCTATCTGTGAACCCCTCTATCTGTGAACCCCTCTATCTGTGAACCCCTCTATCTGTGAACCCCTCTCACTGTGCACCCCTCGCTCCCTACCCCATTCTCCCGACCCCCCCCCCCCACTCCGTACCGCCCACACTGCCTGCCCCACTCACTCCCTATTCCCCTCTCTGTACCCCCCTCTCTCCCTCTGGCCCACTCTCTCCGTACCCCCTCTTTCTGTACCCCTTTCACGTCCTGCCCCCTTCACTCCCTTCAGAGTGCGGGTGGACACAGCAGGGCAGCGATACATGCCTTGTTTTGCCCTACTAACCCCTTCCCTGTCTGCCCTCCTCTGACTCTCCCTTCAGATTGCGGGCCAATACAGCAGGGCAGGGGGAGACGATGCAGAGGGCGCATGGACGTGTGGGGAAGGGGAAGAACTTCTCAGCACTTCAGTTCTTGCCCCACAAACCTCATTCCCACCCCCCTTTCCCCCTTACTCCTGCACTCCCTTCCCCCCTACTCCCACTCTTCCCTCCCTTCCTCCCAGATCGCAGGCCAATACAGCAGGGCAGGGGGAGAGGAGGCAGAGGGCGCATGGACGAGGGGGGAGGGGGGAGAGGAGGGCGGGGAAGAGGGTGGGACGATGGGGGACGAGGAGGAGGTAGAGGAGGAAGAGGAGGTGGAAGAGGAGGAGGTGAGTACGGTTTCGCAGAGTAGATTGTTGCTTTGTGAGGTACTGTATTCCTGTCCCTTTCTTGAGACATCTCAATGTGTATTCATTGTAACTTTTTGTCTGATTGTTGCAATATATGACTCCCTTCGATGCCTTCTTGGCTGGCAAGCATTCCTGCCGGCATATTTTCACATGATCACTCTTTGATGATTCTTTTCTTTTCCCTTTTCAGGACCAGGAGGAAGAGGCAGGGGCTGAGCGGCCATTGGTTGGGAGTGTGGGATGTGTGTGTGTGCAATAGCTCAGTGCACTCTCCTTGGTATTGTGGTGCGCTGTGCTCTTTGGAAACTGGCTAGGTTCAACGAACATGGCTTTGGTTGGAGTTGAAGTCAATGCGCCCTGACATGTGTGCAACAGCTCAGTGCGCTGAAACATGGTGCTCAGTACTGGGCAGGATCAATCAATCGTATATGATCTATCACATCAGTCGTGTTGAAGTAAATGGTTCTGGAGAGCTCACGAGTTGGTGAACTTTCAACTAAACTGTTGGGCTCGGGGGGGAGGGTGTCAAAGTACAATCTTACTTGTAGGCTATAGTGGGGCACTCCTTATGGGGTACAGCACTTCTAGGGTTAGTACCGTATTCTCCCGGACATAGCACCCTAGGGTATAGCTAAAAATATAGGGAAAAAATGGGGGGGGACTCCTCATAGGAAAAAAATACATAATACCCGGGTCTTAACATATGGTATATTTTAGTGTTAGTGTTTATTTAATTAGACAATGTGGGTGTTTTGATTTTCATTTTAACATCACTGTCTGAGGCGCGAATGATTCCATGAAAATGCCATGTGGCACCTCTCTTGCCACTTGCAGCGGAAGATTCGCCTGCACGTGGTCACAGCGAAGTAGTGCGAAGTAGGGGAAATCTCGGTAGATTGTAAGTGAATGTACCGCGAAATTTCATCTAGGGATAAATTTTCGCGATATTCTTCAATATTGCAGCTACTCGTTGACGACTATTATAACGAATTCGTAAGAAAAGGAGGGTGTTATAGAAAATCAGCAAAAAAGGGGGGTATAGTAGAAACGAGGTATATCATAACACCCACCCCGCACAAGCTACCCGGGGGTGTACAATTACGGGGGGGTGTTTTGTCCGG